AATCCCACAGAGGCCACGATTGTTTCACAATTAGGTCAACTGAATTTCCACCATACCTGGAGCCTGTTTTGGAAATTTTACAACGTTCTGAGCGAAGCCACTCTGCCTTCTCAACAGTATTCACACGTTCGAAAAATTATATTTTTATTTACGGGGTTACGTTAGGATTCTAGCAGTTTTCCCAATCATTCATCATAAATATTTACGATCAGTAATAATGCTAGTCTACATATTCTATTCAACTTCTCGGCGAACGATTCAAGGAGCTCCCGAAATAATAGCTACATTTTGGTTTTACCGCAATTTCAATCTAAGTTTCACTTCATAATATCTGATGAAGCATAATCGGTAGAATGGTCTGGGTCTTGCAGTTACAGCGAGAAAGACAGGGCAGAGAAGACACTGCTTCCAGCGTTTTACTGTTGGCGATAGGGATCTCGAAGGTGACTCTGAATTAGGCAGATTGATTTGTAATTGTGCTTTGCATTGGAAGAGTTGTCACTGGTAGGTTCACGCCCATTTTTGGAGTCAACTAAACCTTTTAAACTGTCTATCAGTTGTTTCCATAAACTGCCAGTTTTCATGTTTGAACTGACATGATCATGCGTTTGCAGTTTGTGAAAACCCGATTATTTATATAGCGCAGTAAGTTCAGGCTGATTATACACATTCAGTTGATTGGATATTGACATAAGATTTGACAAACCGGGATGGCAAGCACACTAATTGACGGATTTCACACGCAGGAACCGTTTTGCCTTTAACTTTTGGAATGATAGTTATGAACTAGAGTTTATTCTCTTTTTGTCTCGTATATGTAGCTACCGGCTGAGCAAACATTTCTTCCTTTGGGTCACGCTAAGCATCAAGAAAAACTGGCAAAAGTAGCTTATGTAGCCCCAAACATATACCCCTAGTCCCAGCATTTTGTCCTGCAAAAACGGTAGTTATAGAGTTTTGTGCGGTGGGGAAATAGGAAAGGCAGAAAAAGAAATTTTTAGAAGTAGGTTAAGTGAAAAAATGTAGTCGAAGTTGCTTCCCGCGGCCGCTGGGAGTAAGTTGTTTCGCATGTAAATTGAAGGTGTGCGCGGGGCTTCGCGCCGCGGACTATACTAATA